AGAGTAGTGTTTGGTTCTTGACGTGCTTTCCAAGCTCTCGGATCACCCTCCCCCGTTGTGTACGTTGTCGTCCGCCAGTCCGTAGTCGTTGTGCGCGAAGTTATCAGGTCGCCTGTTTCGCCGCATGGTTCTCGTCAATCCATATGTGTTGTATTCATCATGTAGACGGTTGCCTGGCCTTCCGCAGGGTCACAGTGTCGTGCATTTGCTGTGGTTCGTACAGTTGTGCGAACGTTGAATATTGGAAGAACCTTTTTTTGTGTATTTCTTCAATCCGTTGGTCATGAATGGTTCGGTGTGGTGGGATGACGTGTATACCTTCGCTCCCCATGGTACATGCACAAATTGGCAGACAATGATCACAAGAAAGTGAATGAAATTAATGTTGCGGTTGCTTGCCTCTCCCTGGCAAAATGGCCTTTTTGTTGTTCTTTTTGAAAAGCGTTCTTTGCCGAATGGCATCCTCATTTCACACTTGTTGCCTTGCTATGTGGGTGTGCATACATGCAAAACATTTCAAATATTTCGCTCATCCAGTGTTTGACGTTCATATATGAAATCTTGGCATGCATTCCCATGATGTGATATTCAATAAGTCAATCCCACATGTCCTGTTCGCTTCGTCGTCACGTCGATGTCAACAAAAGCAAAAACAGAGAAGCAAACGCAATGCGATGCACCATAATTGTGTCCCACTCCAGAGATGACAACAATGTTTAATGTGGCTTGCCAATAACAAGCTTTGCGAACTCATCGCAAAACAACGTCAAAAAATTGTCCCTTCACTACGAAATCTGAAAACACAGACACTCACATGCCTGCGGGTAAAAACGTTCCCCCCTTCGTACTCTCCCCAACATCTGCCATTTGAGCTACTTCGAAAAAGATAGGGTAAAAAAAAAAAAAACACAAACTAACTTCACAATGGCACAATTCGGGCCGCCCTCCCGACCATATTCACACCGGCGACCACAGCCGCACTCGCACGGAGTACAAATTGGAGAACACAGGTCGCCCACGCCAAGTGATGGCGGGCGAGAGCATGGCCTCTGCCAGCGGTGGTATCGTTGCCATGTGAATGACGTCATCGTGGATTGATTGCCGCGTCATTATCCTCGTCATCATTGTCGTGATCATGGCGGTTAGCTTCACCGTCGTTCTCGCAATGATCATCATCATCATCATCATTGTCAGCGTCGGCGGCATCGTCGTCTGCATTTCATCCTCGCGGAGGTGGGCCTTCATCATCGAGGTCGCCACCGTGCCATGCCGGGCGCCAGAGTGCGTGCGGACCGTCCTCGTCGTTCCCAAATCGCGGGTATATCGTCTTTCTCGCACGCCCACCGCTGTCGCCACACCTCACACAACCACTCTACCCATAGCGGCATCATCACCAACTGATTTTCTTCGGCATCGTCGATCTTTCCACGTACGAAGCAGCATCATCGTCATCGTGGTGTGATCATGACGGCCGTCCACGCACACCCCCCCCTGTTGGTGGTCAACCCTCTTCGTCGTCATCATCTTCGTCGTCGTTGTCGCATGTTGGAAGGCCTGTGCCCAACCACTCCAGCCCTCTCGCCTCGTCGGGGCCTGCCAAGGCCGCATCATGGCCGAATTTCATGCCGCAAGAAGCCCACTCCGGGATGAAATTCGGCGAGTGACCCAAGGTGACCCGCGCCTTCCCCAGTCACTTGGTCACAGAGTTCGCCGCGGTCAAGATGTGATGCCAATGATCGAATGCGCAGTGCATGGACGCAGCTAACACGGGCTTCGTGACAAAGTTGGTGAAGTAAAAAGCTCCGTAGTGGGACCTCAGTTCATTTCCCGATATTCGCATGATCCACATCGATGCAGCCAAAAGGACCTTGAAGCTCTCCGCCACGCGGCACAGGCATTCCTGAGTGATGGATCCGCCGTCGATTGACTGCCCCGTTTCAACCGCAGTGCTGAAAGCAGCGATCAGTCGCATCGCATGACAGTTGCCTCCCGGTACGCTGCCATGTCATCGTCCTTTTGCCTGTCTTCAATGTGGGCACCTGCGTACCACAGCGGCAGGTCCATCCCCAGCTCCAACGTGTGCGCACAAACAACAGGTCACCTCGTTGCTCCACTCCTCCCCATGCCACATTGCACGTGCAATCTCGGTGGCCATTGATTCCGGGACGTACTGGAAGGCGAGAGTGTATCCCCTTTCTCTGCACCCGGACTTGAAGACCCATCCATGCAAAACCCGCATCGCCACGTTCTGACATTTCGATGCGCGCCTCAACGCTCCCTGCAACTGCCCTGCATCCGTAACCCTCATCATCGTGACGTTCGATCTGGGCATGGCAACACTTCTAGGGACTTTCGGGAGAGGAAGTCCACTCGCGATGGCGACGAGGTACTCGTGTGTATCGTTCACGATGTTGTATAGTCTGCGGCCCTCCCCCAACGTCCGGAACGACTTGTCGTCCACCCACAGTTTCGCCCGATCCACGAGTGTTTTCTCCATTCCGCCCTTCCGCACCCTGTTCACGAGAGGTTCGCCATCCTCCGCCGTCTTCTTCTTCTCCGCACGCGCCTGCTTCGATGCCCTCGCCGGCTCCTCTCCCTTGCGCCCCTCCTCTCCCGTCCCACGCGGTGTGACTGCCACGTGTTCGACGTCACCACCCACTTGGCGGGTCTGCGCCAAATCTCCCGCCGCACCTCCGTCGGCTGCACCACCAGATCCACGTTCGTCACATGCATATTGTTGACGTGGTGTTGCCACCATAGCCCCTTGATGGGTGGTCGCAGATGGACCTGTTTCGGCAAGTGGGCGATTCCTCCCTTGCGGCGTCGTTACAGGTGCGATCATTGCAACCCGTTGCCCATGGTCAGCCCATGCGACTTCGTCGACATCAATGTTGATGATGCGCTCCTCGCGTGTCCGAGCATGCGGCAACGATCCCATAGGACGTCTGTGAACATTGGCAGGCATAATGGGTGGCGAAACTTTGGGAGCGGGGTTTGTGAAGACATCATTGTCATCGCTGGCGCCTGGTCTTCCCCACCCATCACCCTCCACTTGTGTGCCGCTCACTGAGCCAGCGTCCTGACGGGCCCGTTTCGCTTTTGTGACATACCGCCCTCCTCCTGATCCCCCACCCGCCTCCTAAGCAACGGCATCATGTTTTCTTTCGCGGCCGTGACCGATGCCTCGTCCCTCTGGATACATGACAACACTCAACGATTGCGCGGGAAGTTGCACCACCGTCCACCGAATGCCGCACATGGGAAGGCGAGGGATACACGATCTTCAACGAAGGCGTCGACGTCAAGGCGGCGGACGCAATCACCCGTGAAGTCTCACGTTGTGAAGGCGACCAAGCGATGACCAGCAGTGGAGAAACACGACGAGCACGACGGCCTTGGAGACGATTGTTCCGCTTTCGAAGACGATCGACCACGGCGATGGAGAAGAGGTGTCTCCTGACGGAGACGTACGGAAAGTGGCGAGCGGATGACGGCGGGTCGTGGACGACAGAGCAGCGACGAAGGTTGTGGCGAGGGACTGCCCGGAGCGTAGGATCCACTTCGGCGAGGAGAGTGACGCCACAGTGGGGGCGCACGGAGGTACATACATGCCTGGCAAGACTGCTCGACGATGTACTGCCCACACTAGATTGGGCTTGGGTGCGGACTCACTTTTATAATGTGGGAGTCAAAGTCGTTCCTGCAGTGGGTGGGCGAGGGTGATACACAAGGAACCATCATGCGAAACATCACAGGGACGATCACCCCAACAGCCAGATGACCCAACAGAAGGACAAAACAATGGATGACACCCAAAAATGAACCCGCCACACCGCCCCCTTTCTGCAAGGGCGACAAGAAAGAGAGCGAATTCCCGGATCCTGCACCGATCCACCTCCCCCCCCCATCCCCCCCACCGACTACCTCCACCCAAACCCCCCTCCCACCACCCACCCAAGCCCTGTCTCTTATACACATCTAGATGTGTATAAGAGACAGCCCCTGGGTCCGCACGGTCCTACATCAAAGCTAGGCGGTCTCGAAGTGCATCCCGCAACAAGTCCCCGTCCACGTTCGTGCTACGTTGCCGCCCG